CCCTATACCTCAACTACTCAACTTGTTTGAGCTCTCACTATTGTAAATGAGAACAGGTTTCTTAGATCCGAGGGAAGACATTACCCGATGGTAATCCCAAATTCCTTCTTTCCCTCTCTCCAAAACGCGTCAAGAGTTTGAACTACTTGTTTAAAGTGAACTGTTTTTGCAAGTACTAACTAAATTATTTGTTCATTTGAGTTCTCTGTCAACTTATAAGAGAAAAGTTATTTTTGCGTGTCATAACTGATGGGAATTTAGCCGTATTGTCTATAACTGCCATTTATCCAGATTCAGAATAATAAAAAGAACACTAGAGTGATGAATGATGAGAATTTGAAAACTCCACTTTTAATTTACAAAGAGCAAAGCTTAAACACTTTTTACAACTCCTCAATTAACCTTTATAAAGCCAATACTAATCAAACCGCTGAAAGAATGGAATAATTTATTTTTAAACGCCATTTTAAGAAAGTATTTTTTTGATATTGAATTGGATATATGATAAGCAATTGAGTGCCCGGTTGGCCGGCAATTGTGCCGATGGGTTCCCTACAGGTGGTCTTGCATATCCAGATGTGACTGTGTGAATCCCCTAATTGATAATTCCGTGCATAGGAGATGAAGCCTTTGCATTTCTTTCGAGTGCGCAAAAATGTTACATTTCTAAAATAAAAATTTAAAACACATAAAGGACGCTAAATGACTGAGGATACAAGAACCAATTACCGTAAAAACTTCTTCAATCTAGTTGTTAAATTGGGCACAGGGCTTGAGAGCTACCAATATCCGTCATGGTCTCATCAGCTTCCCTTTAGGTGAACCGCATGTCCAGGGGTGGAATAAGCTTTAATTTAGCAGTGTCTCATTATTTGCTAGTGTTTAATGGGTCTAAATAGGTTAATTGATTAAACTGCTTAATTTGAATAAATTGCATAGGATTAATAGAAATAGAAAGGAGATTCATAGCTATTCCTGACCTGTTTTCGTTACTTGATCCTTAAATGATTGTATTGATGGGGGAACTGTCTATTTGTTTTTTTTTCTAAAAAAAAGATTATTGAAAATTGAATTCAAATACCCAGATTTTGTTCTTAGAATAGGGGTAAAATATTTTAATGGAAATTTCCTTTAAAGGGTAAATATGCTAGAAGAATTTCTTGTGAATTTGGCTACCTATATTGTTTTTTTATTTAGACTAAATTGCAAAAAGACTTCATTTGTAAATGATCACCTTCAGAACCAAATATTATTATTTCTTACTTAAGTGCCTTTAAACAGTCCTCTTCTTAGCGTAATAATTACAACTAATTCCGCAGGCTATTTTGTGCGAGTAGTACAGAAGTCGCCCCAATTTACTTTCACTAGTAAGATTGCTTTACAATTCACTCCAAGTGAACCCTTTTGTTCTTTGAAATGCCAGCAATTACCACCCTGCCCATACCTCGAGAATTTGGAAAGTGACTAATTGAAAAAAGCCATGATCGCGTAAAATTTGCCCTGCACTTCACTTTTCTGATCCGTTCCTTTTTATAAAATACTACTTTTTACCCCGGCCGTGGGTAATAATATAGGATGATTTCTTTTGCCATCAGCAGTTTTGATCAATTAAGGAAGTTTTTTGTTGTCTGGGATATCGATTATGTTATACAGTTGGTAAGTATTTTGCTCAATTTTTATTATCAATTATAACAACTCAGAGTATTATACTTGTTAACCTCATTGAACAGAAGGTCCACACAAATTGCCTGTGGAGAGAGGTGATCAAAAATATGCCGAGAGCAACTTTAAAGTATTTATTTATTTATTTTATTTATCTCAAATGGCAGGCTTTATGATAGTTATCATTAGCCCTTTAGCTGACTTCGGGCTTCACAGAGGGGAGGAACATTTATTTATTTATATCAAATGTCAGGCGTCTTGCTTTTTATCATTAGCCCTTTAGTTGACTTCAGGCTTCACAGAGAGGAAGGAACATCAAATTGAAAAAAGTCGAGAGGGGGGAACAGAAGAATGTTTCAAGGATGTAAGAGACAAACACAATGGTAGAACAAAGGTGAGGTGAATACTGTGGAAATAGTCGAATATGGCATAGAGTGAGGTGATAGTAGTTTGAAGTGAGAAGTCAACTGCCAGTAAATAGACTTTTTTGCCGTATGAATATACGTATATATATAAAAGTGAGAAAAATTCGAGAGGGGGAATAGAAAAGTGATTCAAGGATGCAAAAGAGATAGACAGACACAAAGGCAGAGAAAAGGTAAGGTGAGTATTGTGGAAGTGGTAGAATATGACATACAGTGGGGTCATTGTGGTTTGAAGTTAGAAGTCAACTGTCGCTTAATAGACTTTTTTTGCTGTATGAGAATACGTTGCCCAGGGTGCACCACATGAAGATAAGTCTATCGCTCACCCCCACTTTAAAGTAACTGGGGGGTCTTATTCGATTTTTTTATTCGAGTAGTCCAATGGGCAGTTAACATTACAAATTTCACCATTCATCCCCGTATGACAGCAAGGGTACGTCTACGGGGTTTAGTGCCCATTGACTTAAACCATTTATCCACGAAGGGTCTGTTTTGGCACTTTAATACCCTTTTTCTTCTTCGGTTTAGCGTAAATTAAAAGTATGAATTTGCCGGTAGAATTCGCTACACCACAAAGAAATATCAGTCTGGTTATGATTCGCCGCACTTTTAAGTGTATTGATGTTAAATCGGCTGCCATACGCTGAGGCAGAGGTATTAAATTCAGGTCACTGTAGACTTTGAGGTGACAATTTGAAGCTGATGGAGCCTTGATTATGTCGGTGGTGATGTCAAGTCTACATGCACGTGTTTTTGCGAGTTCCTCTTGCGCTGATTTTATGAAGGTAACGCCTTTGGTTACACTTTGTCCTTTTAAGGGTTTGGCCTCATAATGATAACAAAAGCATTGCTTTAATTAAACATATTCAAACTGTTTGTCTTCAATGTCGCCTTTGTGCCACCTCGTATTGCGTAAATAAACATCATTTCTTTAAACTTCTCTCTTTATCAAGTCAAATGCAGAGGGAATAAAGAAGATGGATTTAGGTGAAGAAGCACAATATGTATGTATGCATTTGGAAATTTCATCTTTATAAATTATCCTGCGATGAATGGAGTAAAATGCAGGCAGAACAATGAGTACGTCTAGGTTTGGGTGGTATGTGTTGAAAGGAAAACACAACAGGGAGGTATTATCTTCGTGATGGAATGACGAGAAGCCAGACTCATGATCTATTTATGCTTTGTATTGCGGCGAACAATTTACAGCCAAGCTGGCGTACAAGCAGTTTGATTTTCTTATTTTAATCGTAAAAATAATTGTTGACAATTAATCTGCCACCTAGCAGTTGGTTTTAATTCCTATTTACGATGTAATCAACAATTGGATTGGCAGGCATGGGAAAATAGCAAACTTGTAGAACATTTTCACGATTCTGTAATCTCAACAACACGTAATTATCTAATAAAGTCGCAGATGTTTATTAATTGAACGCTGTCAATTTTCTTCCACCAATTATATATTGTAATTCCTGTTGGGATAGCAAATAAGATATGTTGTAATCTCAACGCGAAATTCTAGGTACCCTAAAAATTTAGAACTAACCATTGTTGCACCTCGGATACGACAGTTGAAATAATTTTGGGACTAGGAGACAGAGAGAGGAGTAACGCAATGGACATCCAAGTAGCAGCATATCGCTATTCCATGACATCAAAAATGGAATAATCGTTCTGATAACGGAAATCGCTCACTTTTGTTTTGTGATTAACTAGGACAATTCAGTCTCTAGAAGTGATGGTTTGTCTCTAAAATGCTGACATTGATTAGATAAAATCTTAGAATATTTGTCGGTACCTTTCGACAATGTTTACCCAATAATATTCAAGGGAGACTAAATCGTGAAGCTTCTTTTGCCCATAATTTATTTATCTATTTACTTCTCCAAGATCCTGACGCTCTTTTTCAGACGTTGGCCAGGCTTGAATACACCTCTGTCAAGTTTTTGGGTCAACTTCAACCCGCTCTATTCCTAGTTAATGGACCCAGACGGGGATTAATTAGCATAGTGATAGGACGACAGCAACCCGCTGAAAATCGAAACCTCAGTTGCGCGGTTGACTGCTAAAAGAAAGCGAATAGGAGCATTTTTGGTTCTATGGCGTACTTTTTTGTACCAACAGCAGCACTAAATACCAACACTCGACACTTGAAAACCATTCTGTCAATATTTGAAAGAAATTAGTGTCACTGGCTGACAAGCCGCTTGCATTCATTGCTGTCAAGAGGGCAAATGCGTACGACCCTTAATTGGCGAATATATCAAGTTTATTGTAAGCTTCTTTACTTTGAGGCTAAGTTGACCAAGATAGTCATCTTTTTTTAGCGTGATAGAGTCACCAAATTTATAGAAAGATGTATTTACTTGATGATGACAAGTATCTGGAATCAAATAAAATTATGTGACCACGAAACAGAATAAAAATGATAGAATTCGAGTTTTAGTCATGAAATATAAAAATTGGAAATCCCAATCGACTTAATAAGAATATAATTTAAAATAATCCAATGAACGACATGAGCGTAACAAGGCTTAATAAAAAATTATTTTTAAGTAATATATAGAATGGTAACATTGTATGTAGATAACATTTGAAGAAATTTATTCCACTAATGATATTTTTATAGTTCTTCAACTAAACAGAATTTGCGGTGTTAACAATATGAAACAGTATGTTTCCTACATCCATCACATCCTTTCCGGAAATTGGTTGAATCCGAATTTTTGCCATATTCTAATTGGCCGGCATTCGGCCCCAGTTGGTTGGTTGTCTAGTATCTTTTGATTGGTTTCTTTGGTTCGAAGGTGATGCCAGTGTGAATCACTCATGCACTTGTCTACATCCTAGCCCCCTACACAACTGGTTTCAACATCATCTTTGAATCGCCTTATTAGTTGTGATGCTCGAAAAATGATCCGTCTGTTACAAATAATTCTTATTCTCCTTCTTCTAATTGCCTTTCAATTTACATTAGCTTGGAATAATACCTCTCATTACGAAGTTGCTAGACTTATTGAACAACATGTAGATAACCAAGATGTCGAAGTAATTGACCTTCGACCTCCCTCTCAAGATGATAAGCTCAATAATAATTACATTGAGTCGTCATATCCCGATGAAACCAACATTCACGAAATTCAAGAATACCCCCCCTCTGCTAGATTACCCCCAGGTGTTCAATGGAATGAAGAGGGTCAGTATTGGGGATATCAACAGGTGCCTAATATCGATGCCTCTTGGAGCGCGACTGGATGCATTCCGCCATACTGCATCCCTGCTCTATGCTCTCAAGGTGGGCCTGGATCTTTATGTTCTCAAAGTTGTGTCACCCAGAATTGTGAGGTTGGATGCTTCCCATATTGTATTGGAGGGTCACAATGCATCGAGAATACGTGCCGATGCAATGCTTTTAGGAAACAGTCGAATTGTAATCTCATATCCCCTTCAGATTGTCAAAATTTCTTTGGCATCTTTTGTTCAAGCGGTTGCTTCAAACCGGCTTCCGCTGCTCCACCATCAGGATGCGATTGCATAATTCCATACTATGTTCTTCGAAAGCCAATGTGTGCTTTAGAAACTCTCCAGAGTTGTCCCAAAAACTGCTCAAATCATGGAATTTGTGATCATAAAAGTGGAGAGTGCATTTGTGATACGGGTTATACAGGACCTGATTGTTCTCTCATTGACCATTGTATCAATAATCCTGATCTTCCACCCTGTGAATTTGGATGTATATCTTTGAATGATACGCGTCTTTGCACCTGTCCGGACAATCTTGTTCTACAGCCAGATGGAGTAAGTTGTGAAACCCCATGTCCTCCTGGTTTAACTGGACCTCAATGCTCTTATGATATTGACGAGTGCTTGACTGGAATTCACGAATGCCAGTACTTTTGCAAGAACACATTTGGATCCTATGAATGCCAGTGTCTCCCTGGAATGACTTTAGATCCCAGGAATAATAGAACTTGTATTGGAATGACTTGTGAACCTGCGTGTATTCAAGATCAAGGAGAGTGTGTAGAAGGGGGCTTCTGCAAATGTCACCCAGGTTTCAAAGGACTAAGATGTGAGTCTGATGTTGATGAATGTGCTTTAGGAACGAGTGGCTGCGATCATGATTGTATCAATACATATGGCTCATTTAGATGTATGTGTCGACCTGGATTTGAGCTGGATTCACGTGATAATAAGACGTGTATTATGAAATCTTGTAGTCCACCCTGTGTGCCTGGCCAAGGGGAGTGCATTGATGGGAGATGTCAATGTCGTGAAGGCTTCCAGGGTATTTCCTGCGAAGGAGATATAGATGAGTGTACAGATGGAACTCACGATTGTGAGCAGAAGTGTATAAATACTCATGGGTCCTTTCAATGCGCATGTTATGATAGATATAGACCCTCTACCGGACATCCTAATCGATGCGAACGTGTCGATTGTGATCCTCCATGCATATCAGGTCAAGGTTACTGTAGAGATGGAGTATGTGAATGCGTAAAAGGTTATTCAGGTATAGCCTGTGAAAGAGACGTGGATGAGTGTAGCGAAGGACGTCATGATTGCGAACAGAAATGTGTCAATACGCCGGGTTCTTTCAGGTGTGCTTGTTATGGAGGATATCGACCATTGGCTTCTGATCCTCGCCGCTGTGAACCGATAAGGTGTGACCCCAGTTGTGTTCCGGAACAAGGGGAATGTCAAAATGATGTCTGCGTATGCAGAGAAGGCTTCACAGGAAAGTCCTGTGAGAAGGATATTGATGAATGTCTGGAAAGTACACATGCCTGTGAACAAAATTGCGTTAACACTCATGGATCTTATATTTGTACCTGTAATGAGGGTTATCAAGTATCACCCTATGATTCTAAAAAATGTGAGCAAATTAGATGTGATCCGGACTGCGTTCAAGGACAGGGTGTCTGTATGAATGGTGTTTGCAAATGCTACGAAGGATTCACTGGAGAAACTTGTGCTGACGATATTAATGAATGTGAACTTCGAATTGACGGATGTGATCATATATGCATCAACCAGCTCGGATCTTATGAATGTGCATGTAATCCAGGTTATGAGTTATCTCTGAATGACTCCCGTGCCTGCGTCCCTGGTGATTGTCTTGCAAACTGTGTTCCCGGAAAAGGTGATTGTGATGACCATGGTAGGTGTATTTGTCGTTCGGGGTATGAAGGACCCTACTGTCAACATGAAGTAGATGTCTGTTCATTGGGACATCACCAATGCGAGCATATTTGTGTTAGCCTTCCGGGAAAGAGACATCTTTGTAGATGTTATCCCGGCTATATTGTTGACCCCAAAGATCCAAATCAGTGTATCGTCTACGGCTGTGATCCACCCTGTGAAATCGGTCAAGGATTATGCAATTATGAAAGTAAGAAGTGTGTTTGTGAATCTGGTTTCCGGGGCGATCGTTGTGAGATAAATATCAATGAATGTGCAGTGAATAATGGTGGTTGTTCGCACATCTGTCTGGATACACATGGAGCTTTCACCTGTGATTGTCCTCCAGGAATGCAACTAGCCGAAAATAGTACTACTCAGTGTGTTGCGGAGGAAGGATACTGTGATCCACCATGTTATTCTGGAAGGGGTACTTGCGTTCGGGAAAATTACTGCAAGTGCATGGAGGGCTTTTCAGGAAAGCAATGTGAAAACATTCTTGATGGATGTTTAGCCTTTAGGCCATGCGAACAAGAGTGCGTCAGTCTTGATGGGGGGAAATTCGAGTGCAGATGTTTTCCAGGGTACAAACCAAGCCAACCAAACTTCTTCGCAACACGGTGCGTACCTGAATGCCAGGAAGGTAGAAATTGTATCCATGGTCAGTGTTCAAAGGGAAAATGTATTTGTAAAACCGGCTATACTGGCGAAAATTGCGATGAAGATGTTGACGAGTGCCAAGATAGATCACTTTGTGAGCACCATTGTATCAACACACCCGGATCCTACAATTGCAAATGTGAATCTGGTTATGTTCTTCAACTTGATGGCCATTCTTGTCGTCGCGTAGACGCCTCAGTGGAAAGACCTTCGAGATACTGCATTAGTGGAGTCAATTGTTTTAATGGAAAATGTTTGAATGGTCGGTGTACTTGTCAATCTGGATATATGGGGGAGAGTTGCGAAAGAGATATCAATGAATGCACCTCTGAAGATGGCAATCGAGCTCGATGTGAGCAGATTTGTGTTAATACAGAAGGATCTTATGAATGCCAATGTGAATCCGGTTTCCGACTTCAACCAGATGGTTATTCGTGTCAAAAAATCCGGGCTCCTGAATGCAAGGATGGAGAGAATTGTTTTCATGGCTGCTGCTCAGAAGGGGAGTGTATCTGTCGTTCAGGATTCACTGGCGATCAATGTGAACGAGACATTGATGAATGTTCAGGAGAAACTGGTATTCGACCTCGATGTGAACAGAGATGTGTTAACACCTTGGGATCTTATAGATGTGACTGCGATTCAGGATTTATTCTTCAACCTGACGGTTTCTCTTGTAGACGAAATGAAACTTTTTTCAACTGCCAAGACGGTTTAAATTGCTTCTATGGTGCTTGTCTGAATGGTAGTTGCGTCTGTCAACAAGGATTTACAGGAAACAAATGTGAACTCGATATCAATGAATGTGAAGGTGAATTAGGAACGTATGCTGGATGTACTCAAAGGTGCATTAATACACTGGGATCTTATGAATGCAAATGCGAGCCAGGTTACGAGCTTGGACCGGATGGATACGCCTGCTTCAAAGTGGATCCATTAATTGAATGCAAAGATGGAGTAACCTGCATTCATGGGGTCTGTTCTGAAGGGGAATGCATCTGCAAATCAGGATTTACGGGAGAAAGATGCGAGAGAGATATTAACGAGTGTTTAGGAGAAAACGGTTTTCCACCAAATTGTGAACAACGATGCATAAATACTCCCGGATCTTATGAATGTGGTTGCGAAACGGGTTACGTTCTCCAGGCAGACGGATATTCGTGTGAGGAAGTGAGTTATGCTCCTTCCAGACCTGCTCGAGATTGTCGTGAAAACTTCAATTGTTTCTACGGTCAATGTTCGAACGGTTATTGTGTTTGTGAATCAGGATTTACTGGTGACCAATGTGATAGAGATGTCGACGAATGTGTTGGAGAACTTGGAACTGTTTCCAGATGCGAGCACCGCTGTATCAATACACCAGGTTCCTACGAATGTCAGTGTGAATCTGGTTATATATTACAACCAGATGGATATTCTTGCAGGAAATCAGACCCAGTTCTTGAATGGCCGCTATACAAATGTCAGCGTGATAAGACTTGTATCTACGGAGATTGCGTGAAAGAAAAATGTCACTGTCGACCAGGATTCACTGGTGAAAGATGTGATAAAGATATAGATGAATGCGAAGGAGAGCTAGGATTCGTATCTAGATGCCAACAACGATGCGTTAATACCTTCGGATCATATAGATGTGATTGCGAATTCGGTTATGAACTTCAAACTGATGGTGTCTCCTGTCGAAAAACTGCTCCTGATACCGAATGTAAAGATGGAGTAAACTGCATATATGGGAGGTGCTGGAATAATCAATGTATCTGCCTTTCAGGATACACTGGGGAAAACTGTGATCGAGATATAGACGAGTGCATAGGAGAAGCCGGTGTTCAGCATCAATGTGAACAAAAGTGCACCAATAAACCAGGATCGTATGATTGTCAGTGTTATTCCGGATACGAGTTACAATCAGACGGATTCTCCTGCCGTCGAGCTGATGTTGTCAACGAATGGACAGGTTACCAATGTCAAAGTGGTGTAAATTGTATCTATGGAAACTGTGTCAATAATAATTGTGTTTGTCAGCAAGGCTTCGCTGGTGATAGGTGCGACAGAGATATCGATGAATGTGTGGGGGAAATGGGAAGTGAGTCCAGATGTGAACAGATATGCATCAACACCCCCGGATCTTACGAATGCCAGTGTAAAACCGGATATGAACTCATGCCCAATGGATACTCTTGTCGACCAACTCAAAACGCTTTATACTGTAGACAGGGTGAGAACTGTTTCTATGGACGGTGTATGGGCGACAGGTGTATTTGTGAATCAGGTTTTACAGGTGACACATGTGAAAGAGACATAGATGAATGTAGTGGTGAGGAAGGAATTCGAGTCGGTTGTGAGCATCTTTGTGTCAATTTTCATGGTTCATATGAGTGCCAGTGTTATCCGGGGTATAAATTGCAACCCGATGGTTTCTCTTGTCAACCAGATGGAATTGAAAATCAATGTCCTATTGATTGTCTAAACGGTGGAATATGTTTGAACTACGGCTGTGAATGTCCCATTGGCTATCGTGGGCCAAGATGTGAAGAGATGGTCGATATTTGCAAGGAGCGAAATCCCTGTGAACACTTCTGCTATAGCAAATCGGTACGTCCGTAAAATCCCGAATAATTTAAGTTTTTTAAAACATTTTCAACAATTTTTTTAATAAAGGCTTATAATTTTTAAAATTTTTATCGAAATAGATATGAATTTGGACAGTTGGAGTGAGGCAATCTTGTTAATTTAGAAGGAGAATCACGCGAAGTGTTCAACGTTGTCCACTGGCTGTGTATAAGTTAGTTATGTCTTTTTACGCTCATAGACTGCAGAAGATTTTTAAAACATTTTCAAGCGAAATACTACCATTTCTGACACATTAAATAGGTCTATCTCTTCTTCATAGAATTCGTACATTTTGTTTGAATTACGCATTTATCCACCCCCACCCGCAAATCCTAGAATTGATTAATCTATTCTCTTAAATTCGGTGTTGCTTAGAGAATGCGAGCCTAGTTGAGGAAGAATTATATTTATTTATTTATTTATTTATTTATAGCAAATGGCAGGCGTTTTGATAGTACGATTGGTCTTTATTTCAAATGGCAGGCGTTTTGATAAATGCCATTAGCCATTTAGCTGACTTCGGGCTTCACAGAGGGAAGTATTAGCCCTTTAGTTGACTTCAGGCTTCACAGAGGGGAAGTATTAGCATTATAGAAGCGTTTTGATAGTAATCATTAGCCCTTTAGTTGACTTCGGGCTTCACAGAGGGGAGGAGGAACATCAAAGTGAGAAGAATTTAGGAAGGGGAATAGCAGAGTGATTCACAGATGTAAAAGAAACAGACAGACACCATGGCTCAGAAAGGGTAAGATGAGTACTGTGATAGGGGGCGAATATGACATACAGTGTGGGGTGATGGTTGTTTGAAGAGAGAAGTCAACTGCCGGTTAATTGACTTTTTGCCGTATGAGTATACGTTGCCCAGAGTGCACCACGAGGAGGTAAGTCTATCCCTCACCCCTGAGGAAGAATTATTTTGATCTCTTAACGCCTCTTGGTAGGGTTCTCGTAAAGGATGAGTAAGTCTGAATTCATGTTAGTTGACTTTAGATTCCCAACAATAGCTCCCAAACCCACTCCAAAGGGTTTACAGGTAAATTTACTTCCACGATGAATTGGTCACTTACGTACTCAAATACCATTTGCACGACCAATCTCGTTAGTCTCCTCACTCAAACAAAGCTTTTGTATGCTGTTAACTCACGGAAGATCAATAATTCTTTGAGAGTATATTAGTCTTAATTGATCTGCCTTCTAAAGTGGCCTTACTTCGGATCAGAGTTACTTTAGAAGCGTTTTCTAATTTATCGTCTTGAATAGAGAAGCAGTGTCGTGGAGACTCCATGTCGAGAAACTCGAGTTCCTTCTTATAGTTGCTGATTTTAATCTAATCTGTGTGGTCGACAATTTTAATGATAGATATGAAATCCATTACCGATGAGCCTAGTAACTACCAAAGTCCTTTTACTTTTATGTCTTTGGCTAAAATATTTCGTTTGAGCTCCCATCTCCTATTCCATCTACTTTCTACCTACTTTGTCATTAAGTTCAAAGGGCGATCAAACAGTCCGAAATTTTTACGACAAGGTGAAAAATCCTCTCCTACTATTTCCTCAACAGATCTTTGATAACGAAGGGACTGCGTGAACTCAAATTTCATCGGCGAACATCTACTACATCTTTGCAATCTCTTTAAAAAAGGGTCATGAACGCTTAAATGAGTTTGTGTGGTGGGGGTGGGGTGGATGAATATTCGTATTCTCTTATCATTCTTGATTGGCAGAATTTATTAGCGGTGTTGGCAGCACACGTCATTGGATGTGCGTCAACGTACATCGATCTCGTGATCCCCATTTTAGCCGACACGCATTTTGACCACTTCGCTGCTTGCGCCAATTACTCGCATGTATAAAACTAGTCATATTATCGAACTTTCATTTCACCAGGATTATTGGTTCTATACTAACATAAAGTTGCGCTTCGTCTAATGCTCAGTACTTCAAGTATTTAATAGATCCTCCACCATGAACGTGAGATGGATCTGGTCGGCATGTCAATGGAGTTTTGCCAAAAATCTCAATTAGTAAATCTGCTTCCGAAATCTATAGAACTTACACCGATTTTCTGGTATTCAGGAGTAAAAACATCTACCTTCAACTTTGCTCACAATGCTTTGCTTTATCATACGAAAACTTCCCTACTCTAAACCTTTAATGTCTCTGATTTTCTCTATATTCTACTGGTCATAAAGCATATTGCGCTACCATATCCCTCATAGGCTTGTACACTTAGCTGTATGAATATGCATCCATTTGTTACTAATCAAGATATGCTATTTGGAATGCTGAAAGCATAGCAACAGAAGGGTTTATAAAAGGAAAAGTGTAAGTGTTTCTCCCCTCAGTCCGAGGAGCGTGTATCGCTGTGATTTTCATCAACGATCTTTTGGAGATTCCTACACTAAATTTGATATTAGCATAAAGGATGACCTTGTAATATTGACGTTTTGATCAACCCAATCTTTTGAAAAACTTAGCTTATTTGTGCCGTTTGTGACCTCTGTCTACGAAGACAAAACCTATCAATTTTCTATAAATCACTCAAGACAGTACGCATTGAATTTTTCGCTTCACTAAGTCTCGTGGTCTTTTCTCGCATGAAGGTAACACGATTTAACGAATAAATCTGTCTAATGAGTGTGTCCCACGTGAATTAACTTATGTTCATTTTCATGAAACAACAATACTTCAAATATGAACAGCTTGAAAATCCCTTGCAGGGACTCTGTATTTTTCTGGGAGTGTTTTGTCGTTTTTCAGCCATTCCGCGTATGAATCATTTTCCGACCTTTAAACTAATTATCAATTCCCACTCTCGTTATCAAACACCTGTGTTTTGAACACTTTTCCTGCTTGTTACAAAGTGGCCGCGTTCTTGTTTGCTCTTCTGATATAATTCCCATTCGCTGGCTTCATCTTTTTCTTTGTGGGGGGGGGCGATTTTCGTGAAAGTCATTTGTCTAACTAGCTTTTTCTGTCCTGTATTGATTAAAACTGGGGCCACTCTCTTCCCCCCCCCCCAGAACAATACTCCTATATTTATTTCATTTTTGCATTTTCCTACATTTCTTATCTCAGAATAATTGTAAACAGACTTTTGCCATCACGATTTGACACCAATATATTTGGAGAATTGATTTCTATTAAAAAAGCACTAAGAGCATCTCTAAAGTAGTTTTTTTCTATTTCAAAATCAGGAAGGCGGCTATATGTGTGGTTGTAAAGAAGGCTACGAACTAAATTCCGATGGGAAAACTTGCAGCGTTCCAATTGAATGTAACCCGCTATGTGCTAACAACGCTCAATGCTTCCGTGGAAAGTGCATCTGCCCTCGCGGTTTTCAAGGCGCCAGTTGTGAGGAAGATATCGATGAATGTGCCATGCCGGCAGTCGTCCATGGATGTGCTCACGGATGCCGGAATACCTATGGTTCTTATGAGTGCATCTGCCCACAGGGAAATATTCTTATGACGGACAAGAGAACTTGTGTCGTGCGTTCATTTTCTACTCTATTTACTTTAACAACTAAGCCTGCGTAAAGAATAGTGATTCGTGATATTTTAAGCAATAAATCTGACGAGAAGAAGCTCTTTCAAAGAATCAAACTGGTTAAAAGAATTGCCATTCTCACATCCTTCATTTAATAAGTACGACTGATTATCTCACTCTCTCGATGCGGATCAATTAATGCTGAGCGCTTAATCTGCAGTATAGCCGATGAGTACTTTTAAGAAGTACGATTGTTTCATTGGGATATTTGGAAGCTAAAATATGAAGTGATGATAATTTACTGTCATAATGCACGTTTTTCCCAGAAGAATACGCTTAAGAAAGTGGGTCTTAGCTAAATTGCTACACGTGACCTATAATTGGAGATGATACAACCATAAAACCTCTCGAAGGCGTTCAGTAGGTCGATTTATGTTCACGCGAGTATTTAATCACCCGTCTTTACTAGCCTGCCAATAAGTTAGATCCTTTACTCCGCATTTATCTGTTTATTACTCGTTTTAAGGCATAAACAGTTATAGATGTCATGGCAGTAAACCTCTGAATAAAGAGCAATAGCGCAGTCAGAGGTTGTTCACTACCTCCTCTAATAACAAATATAATTAGTTAAAAGAATTTTAAAAATTCAATGCCATGTTTTTAAAATGAAAAATAACTTTAAAGACATTTGTCCTAACTTTTATTTTTGTGAGGTAAAAAATTTCAACGTAAGCAACAAAGTGAACTGAGAATTTCCCTCAAATTCGGTGACATAATAAAACTTGTCTCATTCCACTTTAGCTGATTATTTTATTTCCATTCACATTACATAAAAATTTCTTTTTTAAACAGTTTGTTGACTTCGGTTAATTATATTTGCGCTGTTACAACTGCCACCGCCCTAAAGCCCACTTTACATCGCTTGGTCCCTTATATGAATAACTCGAGTAAGATATCCAAGCATGGAGACGTCACGTCGATGCCTTATCTACACCGAATTTATTGTGTTCTTCCGAAGCGTGGTGTTTTTTGTTCTTTGCAGTTCCTTCTTCTTTCCTTGATGACTGGGCGAATAAATGCGGGTCATAAATTACCGTTATTAGGCCTCGGCAGCAGATGGTTCGCCTTGGCCAATTCCTATTTTTAAAGCGCAGTGTTAGTGAAATATAATAAAAAGAATTGCTCTCTCATCTTACAGCACCTTTTGTTCCGCACTTACAATCTTGATTCAGGTAGATCATTCCAGACTATAGGAATTTTGGAAAGCAGAATATATTCATGGTTTAGGTTAGTAGTGAGTACTGAAATCGAGTGATTGGAAATTTCCTTTACATGCAGATTTTCAAGGACAAATGACTGCATTCGCTAGGAGTAGTAACAAATTTTCTTTATTTTGACTGTCTTATATTACCTAATCATACATTTTAACAACTCGGCTTGAATATTTGACAATGTTCAATAACTGTGATAGCAAATAAGAACTGATGTGTTAAATGTATACGCACCTTAATACGTATTTCTGACAATATGGTCAGCGGATTCAACCATTTTCGTTTTGTGTAAGCTTCCAATCTTGATTGAAAAGTGATACTTTTATTCGCTTTTAAAATAACTTGGAATTTTGTTTTTTTTCAAAGTAATAAATTTTGTTATTTGGTGATGTAGATATTCACGAGAGTACTAAGCTGGTAATAAATAAACAATATTTTCCTAAAAGTTAAAATTCCTCGCTGCATAGAAATTTATTCCATTTCAGGAGGCTACGTCCTTAGTTGAATGCACTCGTCCATGTCGAAACGGAGGAGTCTGTCATGGTAACAATATCTGCTCATGTCCTCGAGGTTTCGAGGGTGCCGACTGTTCTAAAGACATTGATGAATGCACAACACTATCACCATGTGATCCCGAATTCGGATCGTGCATTAATCGAGTCGGTGGATATGAGTGCATTTGCCTGCCTGGTTACATTCTCCTCCTCGATGGCAAACATTGCATTGAAGAATCGCGTGCAAGACAGGCTCCACATCTTGTATTTCGTGGCGTGGGAACAAAAGGCATCACTAGAGGCACCCAAATGAAAATAGCTCCACAAAGTAGAGCTAAAACAACTTCTCCACTGAAGCGTCGGCGACGTCGTAGGTCTAGAAAAATTAACTAATTTACTTCCAACCTCCCTCCACACCCCCCTCCCCCCTCCCTTCAACCCCTCCCCACTCACATCCACTACCTATATATAGAAATTTGAATGTGGCTTTGCATTTTTCCCCAAAATTGCTTTTTTTGAGATGACTATAGGATTAAATTATGTTGTTTCATTTTGAATACACCTTCCTTTCTTCCGTCGGTGCCTTTTTCAACGATGCTACTATATCCAATTAACCCTATTATGTAATTTTTTGATTCCAAAAGCTTAATGAAAATGGTCATTCAATTTTTGGCTTTTTACTCATGCTGTGCTTTAGCCTTTGTTTCATATAAACTTCACTAATATTTTTAATCCGTTATACGCAATAATTAACTTAGACTGGCTGTTTTAACGAATCTGAATTAAAAAATTTAAAACGAAATAAGCAACTGAGATATAAAGCCTCTTTTCAATAATTGAGTTTCTTTTCATCAGGTAACATTTATTCATTTCAAATGGCGGGCTTTATAACACATATCATTAGCCCCTTAGCTGACATCGGGCTTCACAGAGGAGAGGAACATCAAAGTGAGAAAAAGTGGAGAGGGAGAACAGAAGAGTGATTCAAAGATGTTAAAGAGAGAGACAGACAGACACAAAGGCAGAGAAAAGGTGAGGTGAGTACTGTGGAAGTGGCAGAACATGACATACAGTGGGGTGATGGTAGTTAGAAGCCAGAAGTCAACTGCCGGTTAATAGACCTTTTGGCCGTATGAGAATACGTTGCCCGGGGTGCCCCACATGGAGGTAAGTCTATTGCACTCAATCTGGTAACACTGTGTTTAGTTTGTAGGTTGCTGCAATACTTTCGG